CATAGGGTTTTTTTCGCGATAGCTCCGAACACGCTGACGATAGAGAGCTGAAACTTGGCATACCGACCTTTGATCCAAGCCGCATCTTTTGACACCAACCCATTTTGGGTCAGGTCAGGTCACTGACCTATGACGTCATAAGTGAACCTCTGCACGGTCTTCAGATGTCGCAACTTCGCAACGCCCTCACTGCCAGAGGAGATGTCACAGGGAAATGAAACTTGCAGGATCTAGTATCCATTATGAGTTCTCACAACTTGTATATCTCGGATTTTTCCTAAAGGTCATATGAGGTCAGGTCATTTTCGTGACCTCACCATTATAAGTCAATGGGGAAAAATGAAAACTGCTATTCTGGCGCCGGGAACGATCTCCAACTATCTCAAGCACACAGAATCGTGATCTGATGCACTCCTTGCAAGGTTAGATGCGTCACTTTTGCAATGTTGACCTTCCGTGACGTCATTTATGACGTCATCAAGGTCATATTAGTTTTTCGTCAATAACTCCCGATCAAATTGAGCTAGCGAGTCGGGAAAGCCACCAATGGACTCAGGAAGACCTGCCGAATCGAATGATATGCGACATGACCTCTTTCGACCAACTTCGTGACCTGGGGGTGCTGACCTGACCTTGACCTGAGGTCAACACCCCAAGTTGACCTGACCCGGACAAAAAGTATATCATTCGACGCGCCTGATCAAGGCGAACACGATGCTGCCAAAATCGCGGCTCTGCGGCCGTTTTTTGCGAAGTTATTCACCAAAAACTGAACCGTACCCTGGGGCACTTGACCTGACCTCAGAGGTCACCGGTTGACCTAGGACCTTAAAATCGGGTACCAATCTCTGCGTCTCGTAACGGCGCACACGCTCGTTTTTTCCGCGACGCGCTAGCTCCACCAGGGGCGAAACGGCGAGGGGGGGGTCGTACCCGCCCCCCCCCCCTCGGCCGGCGCGTATGTAGAAAACCAATAGGTCCGGCGAGGGTTAACTGGCGCCATTTCTGATTGTTCGAGTTGATACAGCGAGTGACCCATGTTTTCATTGCCTTTCCAACCGAAGACCGGCTATCATAAGTGATTTGTCAGTCGAGTAAATGCCCATTGCGCTTGAGTAGCTGGTTATGTGTTTCAGTACGCAGTAATTATGTATTGGTCGATAGCTTGGAAAGGCGTCTGGAAAAGGTTCTGAAAAAAAAAAACTGAGCCCAATAATGAATCCAGTCCATGGGTACAAATCGCCGAAGCATAAACTCGCTTGTCACAAAGGGTTGCTGAAATAAGTGTGAGACCACTTATCCGCCAAACGACTGCAATCCTGGGCTGCACAGTGCACACTGCACAGTCCCTTCAAAGCAATAAAACGCCTGAAAATTGTTCCAATGCCACTAATTACCTGGTCATTAGTGTCAGTACTGTCGCACATTGTCAGTCATAACATCAGTCTGTTTTTATGCGTTGCTGGTAAAGGAATATGGCACAGACACTCACTCCAACACAACACTCACTACCCCCCCCCCCCCATGTCACGAAATTTGTTGGTTTGGGCGAGAAACGACGTCCAAATGATAACCATTTTGCGCAGTCACCTCCAATTAATATGTTAAGATCAATAACCCACCCCAATTTTACTCAGAAAAGCATTTATGTGGATAGTTGTTTTGCAACCTACTTTTTGCCACACTTGAATCGAAATGTATGTCACTCTCATCCCCCTCTTTGGAGAATAATTAGCCCTTTGACACCCAAGTCAAAATACAACTTTGGGACGCTGGTCCCCCCCCCCTCCCATTCATCAATCACCATCGCCGCAAACCTCCTTCCATTCACTATCCCTCCCCTCTCCGCGACTCTATTCCGTCATCCCCCTTTTTTCACCATCCCTCCCCTCTCCGCGACTATCCCCTCCCCCCTCTCACCTTAGTATCCGGTTTGGCCACGGAGAGGACGTCATTGAGCGTTGAACCCACCACCATCACCTTCGCTCCGCTGGTCACTCCCAGCTGGCGCAGAGTCTTGTCGTCACGAGCCAGACCGCGAATCATCACCTTCTGCATGCTGGGTGGCACCTCTGAGAGACACAGCACGTGGAAACGGTCACAACATGGACAGCGGAGATCAGTAACTGTCGAGGGAGAGAAACGGAAGAGTTATTAAATCACGGCCAAAGGCGCCAATGGCGGCAGGCCGCAAATACAACAAACTAAACCAATTATTATATAGAAGTGTTATGTATGTAAGCAAAATAGTTCTGTGTGGGCTTATAACATCCCTATAAGATAGCTGTGTTGCCTCGACTTCTGTCATGTCCTGGTTCTGTCCGTTCTGCCCCTTGGCTCTGCACGTATTTCTCATGTTCTGCTTGTAGATCGTAAGTACAATGCGTGAGCAAAATAACTCTATGACAACGCGAGTGCAACATTCGCTAATTTATTTATTTTAAAGGTTGTAGAACATCTGCAGGTTTATTGCGTACCAAATATTGACTTTAGGACGATGATATTTGAGTTTTAGCAACACTCAAAATGCATCGTTCGTATTCACACACATCCAAATATATTGGTAGCGTCGGGTCAAAAGGCTCCAATTCCACCCGGAAGCCCAAGGACAACTTTATACGTCACCTGAGATGCTGATGCTTTGAGATGGTGACTAGGCACTGAATGGCCCAACCCAGCTCTCAATCAGGTAGTCGGTCATATTTCGGAATCTAATTCAGCAATAGATGTTACCGAGCGCCCTTATCCCGGTCAGCGAGTATTTATGCAGCGAGGTATACTATTCGTAAAAGGATTTGGTGAATAGGTCGTCGTTATATACCGAGATGTGCTTAATACCTAACCACAATCAGCATTTTTTCCACTCTTCGTCACCTGCTCCCCATCGTCGGCTTAAGTTCAGTCGGTAGCCGTCAGTGGTATTAAACCTGAAGCACTTAAAAATCCAACAATTGACTATCCTCAGCCGTTTCTTTGGAAAGGAGATCAACATCTTTTGGAACCACCTCGGACCACAAAAAGGCCCTTATAGGAATATGAGCAATCCCACTTGTTCCCACTCACCGATCAGCGGGTGCAGCTGCTTTTTGAGCGTCTCCACGGTACCATCCAGCGCCGCCTGCACCTGCAGCTTCTGCTTCTTGTAGACGATGTTGAGTGTGACCTCCGCTGAGGCAGGCGGCTCCTCCTTGGCCGAGGCGCCCTGCGCGGCCGCCTCGGACTCGGCCAGCGGCGGCGACACCTCTGTCTCGTCAGAGTTACCCATCGCCTCCGAGCGGTGGGTGAGAGCGGCTCAGCGGAACGGCTGCGGTCTCAGCGGTACCGCTCAGCGGAACGGCGCAGTGGGACGGCTAGGCAGCTGCGAGGACTGAGCTGAGGCTCCTCAGGTACAGACCAGCAGTGGGTGGATGTAGGTGAGCAGTGAAACGTGTGATCACAGCAATGTCAAAGTTCACCACTTATTTGAAAAATCAGTGCATGGCTCTGATCTTCATCTCCGGGAATGTTCCTGTGAAAATAAGTAGCTTTTAGATTACAGCCTATAGAATTAACTTGACAGAAACAATCAAGTTATTTTAGCAGGAGCAAAATAAATACAAGAATTTATGAATCTGATATAAATAATGATCATTTTAACCATCCTGATGGCTATCTGTAGATCACTTTGTAACATGTTATGCAGGCACCAAAACTACTTCTGAAATGTTCAAGTGGGTGCTAACTGCTAACTGCTAAATTCAAAATGAGTTATAATAAAAATTACCCTAGAAACATGTAAAACTAATAAATGAAGGGATCAATGTCATCTAAGGTCAATGACCTTGACCTGACCTTCACATGGCCTCAACGCATACCATAATGCATGGAAAAAAACATTATTTCACATGTTGGAATGTTTATAATCACAAAAAAAACTGGAAACGCATGGAAATCATGCACTGACTGCTGGCATACACCAAATCGTGATCCCAGCCAAACATGGGCCTGATCTTACCAAATGTTTTGAATGCACATTCACAGCACTGGTGGCATTCAAAATTATTCAGTGTTCATTTCAATTTATTACTTAACATTCATTCACTCATTCATTCAAGCAACATTAACCCGCGCCCCAGTGTCAGTCTGGATTTTCCACGATTTTCTTTATGAAACCGCTAGGGCATAAAATCCGGCAAATACGGGTGGGAAATTGCGCCGGATGTATTTTACTACCTTTTATGAAATCGGCCGCTGGTGTGTGTGTGTGGGGGGGGGGTGTTTGAACACCCCCCTTCTAACTCGGCTCCTGGGCCACGTAGCGACACGCGGTAAGCGGCAATCGAAAGAACGTCAAAAATAAGGACGAAAACACTTCGGTCATTTTTTGGGTCAGGTCAAAGGTCAGGTCACCAGAGGTCACCAAAGGTAAAATGTTGACTAGTTCAACATTTTGGAAACTGCCTACGGCTATCTCGGGAACCGATAGAGCTACAGCGCCGCAGAAAAGCGCATTCGATAGCCCTTTTACAGACCTTTCTGAATAATGGTCTCAGATTTGACCTCAGGTCAACGGTTTAGCCTCCAGAGGGCAAAAACTCCAAAAATAGCCGTTTTTACGAAAATCGGTTTTTCGGCGATAACTTTTGAACCAAAAGAGCCATGACATTACTTTTGCCAGCATTGTGTTCCTCTTGTCAAAACGCGTCGAATAAACATAATTTGACCTTGAAGGGTCAACTTCAAAATTTAACCTCAGGTCAAGGTCATGACCTGACCGGAAAAGGTCATGTTGCATATCAGTCGATCCGCAACGTCGAGCCGAACACATCTAAGGCGTTCTCAGCGCTCTAGCACGCCTCTATCAGAAGTTATTAGCGAAAACTGTTAGATTCTGTTCGTGACCTGAGATGACCTCGGGGACATAACGAGGGGTCACAGTTGCCATTTTCCGGTTCAGTGTGTCAATTTTACCTACATCTCGATGTTTGAGAGTGTCTAGAATAGCGTTCGTGCAAAACAGACGCTTTTCAATTTTCTCCCATCGACTTATAATGGAGAGGCCGCAAAATTGAACTGACCTTAGGTCACCGATATCAAAATTCCGAGATATACATTTTATAGATACTGTTACCCTCATCAATCGCTGAAAGGTTCAAAGTGATCGGTCACTCGGTGTAGCTATGGCAGACATTGAAACTTTTTATGAGGTGAGGTCACTTCAAGTGACCTGGTGACCTGACCTTGAATGACCTTGGTCTGAAATTTTCACAACATGTGTAGAATTGATGTATGATAAGGTGTACCAAAAACGGCAGCGCTCCGCGCTGCCGTTTTTGAGATATCTGCGAAAAACCGCAGGTTGGGTGTTCAAACACCCCCACACACTTGGGCGCGGGTTAATAAGCATCCACATTTCAAGCCATTGAACCCATTCGATGGGATTGGCTGGAGGTAATTAAAAAGGACACATTTCATATTATTGCTGGCAGCTCTGGCCCTTGCTGGCTGCCGCCAGATCCTAAGCTCTGTTCGCACCCCGTTTATTTATCAGCAGGCTGCGACCATGCTGCTACTTCTTGGCTCCTCATTGGTCGAATTCAAGTGGTCTATTCGTTAGACCAATGAGAGGCCAAGCCGCGCCAGCAATAACTTTCTTATATGGGGAAAACCGACAGCACACTGATATAAAAACAGCGACCGAACAGGGCCCTATTCCAATTCGCGGCATTGGTAAGATTGGGCTGGGCCCTACTCAGGAAACAGGTCAAAGGTCAAAGTGAAACTTGGTCAGGCCAGGTCATACAATGTTCAGTGTAGGTGTGAAATTGATAACTCCAGGGTATCAGTATTGAAAGTTTCGTCATGACAGTCAACTTTTTTCCGCAAATGAATAATGATTCACAGAAAAACAATTATGAATTATGATAGGTTGGGATGCATATGCATGAATGAATCCAGGTTAATATCTGGTTAAGATCAAAGTTGAGGTGCTTACATGAGCAGTTAAAGGTGTTGTGCCAGCTTTCTTGGACCGTATGGAGTTAATGGCCCAGATAAGGAGAACCGGATTTTTAGAACTTATCCATACCTTCAAAACTCATGGAAACGTCTTAAATTCTTCAAATTTTGAGTACCCCAGTGCGAAATTCGCCCCGACGGGTTGTCGGTCGTACCCCAACCACATTTCACACCACTATGAACAATAAATGCACACACTGAAATCGCTATTACCGATATGCTCATCCAATCAAGTTTCGATAAACCCGTTCATCATCATCTCCTGCGGTTTCGAACACGCCTGTTAGGTGGCTTCTGATGCTCGTCGAGGTCGGAATTTCCAAATACGCGTGGTGCGTCGGGCCGCGCGCTCTGACTTCGGCCAAGAAAAATGCGTCAGCTGATCATTGTCATTTCTGCCACTTGCGTGTGGTGAAATGGGGTCATAACTTATAAGACGGCTTTTTCATATCAATTATTTTACATAATATCATATTTCAAACCATAAATAATGTTCGACAGCCAAATAAAAGAAACAATACCAATAGGTACGGGCTTACAGTTTAAGGCTCGACATTGTGTTGTCTACGATTAGACAGCTGATAACTCATTCCCGTACGTCGTATGGTCGTAACACTATAATGACGATAATGACCTTTGCTTATTGTCACAAGTGCGACGCATTCGCGATTGTTGCCCGACGCCTGTTTGCAGGTGAGCCCACTACAGTTGTTATACATATCTAAAAACCGAAAAACTTTTAGGCGAAAAAGGCACTATTCCAGGCCCATTTTTGATTTTTTTGCGATATTAGGTAAAAACAGAAGCTTCTTATCCTAGGAAAAATAAAATGGGAAATCTTTCAAAGGTGGCACACTACCTTTAAATATTGACTCGATTAAAAAGTCACACTGACACAAGAGTGAAGACCCTTCCTGAGACCTGAGGCGTATTAGTATCGACAATAATGTTGAAATAAAGAAGACAAGAGTACTAAATACCGACTCTGGAAACTCAAAGTAGTTTTTAGTTACCCTATTTCCCATCCATCATACCAGCCCACGCTGACTCCACGTAGCGCTTATCTCACGCAGAGAGCGACGGTGACACAGTGGAAAGAGACAAAACAAAACAACGCGTCATTTCAATCTAAGGTCAGCATAAAAGAAGAGAAGACGCACTAAAATACAGACATAATAAAGACCAGAGGGGTGTTCACGGGCACCGCACACTGCTGCGTGCGGTGTGTGCGGTACGTCCAGCAGGCGTGGGGGTAGGGGATGGGTAGGCGGCTCTGACGTCACGGCTGCGTGCGGTGGACGGTCCGCTGTGGCCAGTCCCGACCGGCCACAGCGGTCGCTGTGTGCGGTGACGCAAGGCTGACGTAGGGACGCAGTGGGCGGAGCTTGGAGGCTGTGTGCGGTCCGACCGCACACAGGGTCCGTGAACAGCCCTCAGCAGAGCAACAAAAAGCGGTCGATAACCTGCTGAGCCAATGGCATACCGGGCATACCATTGGAAGTTGGATGCATAATGCATACAAGGAAACCTCGCTCCAGCATCTAAGAAAATACATATAGGTTATAAAGGATGAAATAGTGACATTTTCACACATTGACATAAACACAGTGAATCAAATCGGTACCCATCGGTGCGGTGCGCACTGCGCATTGGGTGCGCATAGGCAAGATTACTGCATTGCCCATTGGTTTGGTACACAGAGCAAGAATCTTGCACAGAGCCACACGTCGCAGCTGCGACTTGCGAGGCTTAGGTACGACGCTCTGGATCTGTAGCCCTACTCAGGAAATTCGATCGAACGGGGGTTGGCCCGAGATAGGCTGGCCAGTGGCCTACTTAGGTACATACCTACTAACTACTATGCATTTCATACCCCATGAGACCCTGTTTTTCGGCGATAATTTATTTAATATTTGTCCAATTTGCTTCATATTTTCACAATGCAGATTTCAGCTCAAGCGCCAATTTTCGTCAATATGGTCTCTTAACAAAATATCAAATTTTAGGGTACTTGTCGTTGCCTCGTAATGTTAAAATCGGCTCCGTAAATCCGTCAGTGGAGAAGAGGCTATCCGTGCGTAGGCGTGACGTCACAAACACGTGACCATTAAGCTCCGCCCTCCCGGCGGACGGGGCGGTGACCTTGGCCGGTCAGTCGGCTGCGTGGAGCGGGCGGGGCAGTAGCTGTCGCACCGGGGCGGCTCGCATGGAACGTAGCTGCCGTGCAGTTGTCGTTGCAGCCGTAACTTAATCGAATGAGCAAAAATGGCGCGATAAAATTTCGGAGCGATAAAGGAAGAATGTAAATATAGTATATACAGTGTCATTAAGTCACACGCTGGATAGTAGAAGTTATAACGGGAATACAAAATGCCTGCCTACTAAATTATGACATAACTTGAAACTTGTAAGACCCGATGTGAGTTACTCAGAACATAGCAAGGTGTGTGAAAAAAACTTATTTTTGATCATCGGAAGCAAATTCTGCCGCGGGGTAACTGGTTAAAAACAACTGAAAAGTGATAGCGCGGATTTAAGAGTTCAGTTAACGTTCCGGAGTCGGAGTCGAGGCAGCTGGACCGACTCCGACTCCGACTCCGACTCCTGGCTGCTTGCCACGACTCCGGTCGACTCCGACTCCTGGCTGCTTGCCACAACTCCGGTCGACCCCGACTCCGACTCCGAAAACCTGGAGAAGAGGGCACCAAATGCCCTCGAACGGATCATTTTTTTGGCTTTCATCCCGAAACAATTTTGCCAGCTTCACTTGTCTCCAGCATGAGGTCCCGCTGCGACCTCTCCGCGGTGCGTGCTGACACCGACTGAAGCGGCATAAACCCATCGCGGTCACGGCCAGTGGGCGGAGTCAAGTTGAGCACGGCGTAACGTGATTGGCCAGCGCTCCTAACCAATCTGGTGCGGTAGCGAGCGAGCCTCTATCCGGGTGCAAAAACTGATTAACATTACGAGCCAACGACAAGTGCCCTAAATTTTGATATTTTGTTAAGAGAACATATTGACAAAAATTGGCGCTTGAGCTGAAATATCGTCTGCCAAAATTTCAAGCTAATTGGACAAAAATTGAAGAAATTATCGCCGAAAAACAGGGTCTCATGGGGTCTGAAATGCATAGTAACTAATCGTAGGTCGAATGGTTCGGCGTCACACACAGGGCCCGAGCCAAGATGATGAAGATTCTTCAAGATGGCCCGTGCTGGCCAGGGACTAGCCCGTTTCAATAAGGCACATTGGGGTCCGGTCAGACGGGATTAGGTCCGGTCAGACGGGATTAGGTCCGGTCAGACGGGATTAGGTCCGGTCAGACGGGATTAGGTCCGGTCGGTCAGACGACTCCGTAACAAACGGCGCTCGGGATCCCTCCTACAGCGTTGCCGCGTGGCACGTTATCAAAAGTCGAAAAGTGTGTCTAGGCTTATTGAGGTCAATGGACCATCTCTTGTCTTGTCTCTTCGCACTTATTGACATATCGGTATAGGCGGCGGCGTAGAAACTGGCGGTGGACGGGCATAGGCGGCGGAACGGGGGGGGGCACCGGGGCACCGTGCCCCCCTTGAATTCTGCAAGGGGGGCACCAATAGCAAGGTGCCCCCCCTTAAATTTGATGTATTAGTACCAGTGGCGGATTCGGGAAAACTCCAAGGGGAGGGTCATCAGAATCGAAGTGGTGCCCTTACCTATTCCCAAAATTAAAACCTCAACGGATTTCGGCCACTTAATGTTGGTGGTGCCCTATTTTCAGTTTTTTTTATTTTCCTTATTTTTGGTTAGTCATGTGATGACTGGTGCCCCTGCTAGGCCGCTGGTGCCCCTGGAAAGACTGTGGTACCTACCTACACTGCCCCCTGACAAGCCTACGGTGGGCCCTGACGTGACTTAGGTGCCCATGGTCCCTGACCGGCCCGTGGTGCCCCTGACAGGCCTGTGGTGTCCTTGCTAGGCCTGTGATGTCCCTGGGCCTTGGCAGGTCTGTGGTGCCCCTGGCGAGCCTGTGGTGCCCCTGTTAGAACGCAGGTGCCCTTGACAGGTTTGTGGTGCCCCTGACAATCCTAAAGTGTCAACGACAGGCTTGTGGTGCCCTTGACAGGTCCATGGTGCCCTTGCGAGGCCGGTGGTTCCCCTGCGAAGCCAATAGTGCCCCTGGCAGGCCTCTGGTGCCCCTGGTAGGTCTGTGGTGCCCCCGGAAGACCTGTAGTGCTTTTGCTAGGCCGATGGTGCTCTTGACATGCCTGTGGTGCCACTGACAGGCCCGTGATGCCCCTGCTAGGCCTGTGATACCCCTGGCGGGCCTGTGGTGCCCCTGTCGGCTGTCAGGCCTGTGGTGCTCCTGGCAGGCATGTGGTGACCCCAGGCCCTAAGTCATGACCCATGTGACCTCCCCCTGGGATTCATGGGATTCGCCACTGATTAGTACTGCGATGGCTTCAAGGGAATTTGATACATGTAGGATAAATGGAATTTATCAAACGACAATAAGGAAGAGACAAACACATAGGTACTTGAGGATCAGCTTAACCCTCGCCGGCACAGGCCATTTTGAGTCCTTCGACGGCACAAGGGGGGGGGGGGGTTGGTACGACCCCCCCCCTCGCGTTTGGCCCCTGATGGAGCTAGAGCTTCGCGGAAAAAAACGAGCGTGTTGCCCGTCACAAAAGGAAGCCAATGATACCCAATTTTAAGATCCTAGGTCATCGGCTGACCTTCCAGGTCAGGTCAATGACCCATAAATCAGGAATATCGGGACCTGTTAGAAAGTCGTAAAGTGTGGTAGCTAAGGGGTTTTCCGGGGTGCTGATCACGAATATCGTGTTAGTTTTGATCATAGATGATGTCGTGAAGCGTTTAGACCAGGTCGGGTCAGATCAGGTCAGGTCAACCGGTAGGGGTCGTGACGGGTATTCGTAGTACCTGTCATCCGCCTCGGACAGCTTCGATAACATGTTACGAAGGCACCAAAACTACTTCGTAAATGTTCCAATGGTTGCTAAACTCGAATTCAGCTCCAAAAACTAGCCTGGAAACATGTAAAACTCGAAAAAGTGAACCGAGGTCACCAAAGGTCAATGACCTGACCTGACCTTCTGGTGACCTTGACATCCACCCTAATGCATGGGCGCAACATCAAATCACATGTTTGAACGTTTGAAACCACGAAAAGCTTGCAAACGCGCGGCTAATGCGAGCCGACATACGCCGAATCGCGATTCCGGCCAAACATGGTCTCAGAAAAGAGGTCACAGGTCAAGGTCATTTGGGTCAGGGTCATGACATTTTCAGGGTAGGTGTAAAATTGATCAATGCGAGGGTACTGAAAGTTTCGTCGCGATCGGCCGCTTTTTACGCGAGTTATTCGCGAAAAACCTTAGGGGGTACATCAACCCCCCCCCCCTGTGCCGGCGAGGGTTAAAGTTAACCACACATACGGGGGTGAACTGCCATTTTCGTTTTGTAAATAAAAAATAAAATAATAAAAAATCATCGTGTCAGGGCTGTGACGAAAAATAAGTGGCCTAAATCCGATAAGAAAACAGGATTTGGGGGTACCCTAGGTTTGGCTCCTTGAGCTGGTGCCCCCCCTTGTCTCAAATCGTTCCGCCGCCTATGTGGACGGGGGTCATGACCTCTCCGAACCAAGAGCGGATCCAGGGGGGACAACGGGGCTCCCTCCTTTGATGGAGAAAGAAGGGGCCAACACATCTTATGGCCCAACTTTTACATAGGCGCGGGAGCCAGGGGGGCAGTGGGGGCAGCTTGCCCCCCCCCCCCCCAACTCTGGGGCCGTGGGGGCGGTGCCCCCACAGCTTTGAGACGGAATACCACACTTTTTTGCAAATGTTTTCTTTTTTGTTGAAAAAGCCGAGGAATGAAAAACAAGTGGC